TTATTATTATTACAGATGAATTTTAATTGCTAAATTAAAAATTTATTTTTAAATATTTTAATAGAAATTATGAAAATAAACATAGATTTCAATAAAATATTTTATTTCATATAAGAAGAAATATTATTTATGTTGTAATAACAATAAATTTTTTAATATCACATTTTTATCAGAATGTAGACTACCAATACACATATTAAAAAATTGAAAAATATTAGATAAATTATCAATATTATTATATAATGTAAATATAAAACTATAACGCCATATTAATGGTTCAATATCAATTGAAGATTCAAGTAATAATAAAAATAAATTTTTAGCTTTATTCCAATCTTTTTTATTTATATATGATTTTATTTCAGAGAGAATTCTATGTCTTGAAAAACTTATTGGATATTGTCTTTCACTCTTCTTATAATAATGTATGATTTTACATTGAGTATCAATATTTTGTAATTTTTTTATCTTTTCCATTTTTATCTTTTTTTTCAATCCATCTTTTTTATTTAACCAAAGTATTTCAATAGCTTGATTCTATAAATAATATATTTTTTTATCATCAATAATTTTAAACTTATATTAGGAAACTTTATTGTTACATACCACTTTTGCTTTTTTTATCTTCTGCATTTTATATTTTATTTTTTATTGTTAATATAATATAATTTATGTAATTTCAATAAAACAAAAAAGTTTTAAAACTTGTATAATATATATATATGATAAATAATGCACATATAATTATACTATTTATATATATTTAATTATATTAATGATTAAAATAATTCTTCAAAAATTTGTACGACATTCTTACAACTTCTATGAGCATGATAAGTAGAATATAATAAATAATTTTAATATTAGAAATTCATTTAGGATTAAAAATTATACGTATGCAAAATTGAAATGTTTAGGAATTATTTCAACCGTCATAATAATTCTATTCATAGTCCATTCAATCTAATGAAAAAAACAAATATATCATAAAATTATGAGAAAACGCAAATAAGCAAAATTATTAATTTTTAGTAACTTTAATAATAAATATAAATCAAAGTATTATTACTGAATTTACTTACTTTCATCATGATTTAAAGCTATAATTGCAAATAATATTATTAATATCTACGAAATAATTGCAAGAACACATCAAATACTAGTGATATACTTTTCTAAAACATACATAATCAAAGATTGATATATAAAAATATGTACATAACAATATCCAAAAGTTTTTAAAATTAAAATTTATAAAAAGTTATAAAATATATAATAAAAGCAAAAAAAATTTTTCTGTAATTATTAAATTTGCATTGATATATAATTTTTTAAATTTATCTTTTTATAAACCCGTTTAAAAAATAATAAATTCTCAAAATAATATTATTATTCAGTGACATCTAGCATGATACATTTTAGGTATTTGTAACTGTTGTGATCTTTCAATTATAGACATATTTCATGGAATAAATATTTTCAAAATTGTAAATTAAATCTTTTAATAGTTTAATGAGTTTAGATATTAATTTACACGAAATAAATTAAATTTATAGTATTTTTATATTAAATATTTTTGTGTGTAGATGATTAATTTTCAAAGCATTAAATGTTTATTGTGAATATTGTCTAAATTTTATGATATAGAATCTGCATTGTGGAACATTAAAAACAGTACATGTATCCACACTTCGGTGTGTGTATATTAGATGCTTTGATAACATCTTCAGTACAAAATAACTATAGTTAAAGCTCTCAGTATTATCAATATAAACTAAAAACAATGAGTTTTAACCGATTTTTAATAATAAATGAGTATTTTTTGTATATATGTGCAATAAACTATTTTTTTTTATCTATAGTATTAGGTGAAAGTGAACCAATATATGATGGTAGATTTCAAATGATAATGACATCTATGGTAAGTATTTAATTTAATTATTTTGTATTAAATAATATATATTTACTCATATATTAATATTCATAATATATATTAGAAACCTGAAAATGCAATACCATCACAAACCAAGGATAACCTTGGTTTTCTACATGCATTTGTAGCATCTTTATCTGTCATCGTTGTTTCTGAGTTGGGAGACAAAACTTTCTTTATTGCTGCTATTATGGCAATGAAACATCCAAGATTGACAGTTTTTATAGGAGCAATTAGTGCTTTAGCTTTAATGACTCTTCTTTCAGGTATTATTAAATATACAATTCTTGTAAAATTTTGTACCATACATACACATATACACATATATACACAGAGTAATACATATGCTATATATATATATATTATATATAGAAAAATTCACTTGAAAAATAAACTTAGCATTTGAAAATAATTAAAAAAATTTATGTAAAATATTCTATTTTATTTTGGTTATGAAATATAATAAACTTCTATATTTTGTATATATTAAATTTTATAAGAATCTGTTGGCATTAAATTTAATAATATTATTATGAACTTCGATTGTAATTAGCAATGTTTATCAGTAATTAATATATATAAATTAAAGAAATATTCATGATATATATATATTATATTCATAAAATGTTAAGAAAATTATTTATTATTTTACTTCAAAAAATAAAATATAATATTTATATTTATATAACA